GTCCATTTATTAAAAACACATCTGATTGACAGCGTCCATTTATTCGTGTCCGTTCAATTTGTCGTTCAACTCTGAGTAAAACTTTAATGCAAGTCAAAAACAGTCTAGTATAATTTTTGCTGCGTTTCGGACCAGACCCATCGTAAGTTTAGCTGTCCAACACGTAAATATCGGTTACTATTGCGTAAAGTTTATAGTAATCTCTGTACCCAAGATAGGTGAGACGAATATATTAGTAATATATATATGTAACTCTTTATAGAAACGTTTTTTAAGAGAACCATATTATATTAGAATAATTATATTTGTTTAACAACCAAGTTTAAGAAATTTATAAATGTTATGGCTTAATTTTTTTAAAGTTTTTCATTGTAACTATGCAAAATAGTTCGACTTCTGTGAAAGTCATCAATTATTTAGTTAATTCTGTTGTTCTTTTTTGTAAACATTTACTTGGGTTAACTATAACTCAATAAAGGTTTATGAAAACTGGTGGCTGTGCATTTATTGCCTTAAAGAAATCATTCAACCACGAATGTGGAAAATTCTTACACAGATTTTGTGAATGATGTTGCTACATTTTGATTAGGATACATGGCCACAAGAACTCTTGCAAATTGAATTATTCTCATTTTTTTAAAAAAAATGGGAGAAACGTTTTGAAATTTTGTAAATAGCGTGGTATATATATATATATATACAAGTGTGAGTAAAAATAATAATTGCAAACTTTTACTTAAAACACCAGTAAATAAAATATAGCATCAAACAAACATGTCTTTCCTATAAGAAGGAATATCACAGAGGGCGTTTCTTTTTTTTTTTGAAAAAAATATGTAAAAAATAGAAACAAAACATTATTTATAAAAATGATTTACCATGGTTAAAAGTCTGTTTTGTTCTGTTAATTTGATAACATTCTAAAAACCTTTAGTAGGAATATTTGCCCAATTAACGTGTTTCAAAATTTTCCATCAGTTTTATGTCAAGCTTAGCTAAAGCATACAAAAAAATATCTTCACTTTGGGGCATTTTTAGCATATAAGTCTAAAGAGAGCAAATGGTTTGATCTATAAATGGAAATGGTTAATATGTTCAAGGACGCTTTTTAAACCATTCATGTTCGAAAGTAAAATGTAAGACAATTGTAAGTAACCCTAACGTCTAGTAGTTTTAAAGTTTATCACAAAATTACAACACCCACAATTCGTAGGTCTGTTATGCAATTCTAAGCTTTCGTTTATTTTTATACCTGTTTTATTAAGTGGAAACCAACGTTAATTGCATATAACTATTCACCAGCTACTATTGCATTTTACATAGCCTTAAGTTCCCAAATATTTGTATTAGGAGACAGGTCTGACGATTTTCAAACCGCGTACTTTGACTAACCACAAATTAGAATCCACATTTAACTTCAACTAAAAATTATATTTGATTTTTGTCATTGTGAAGCACAAAGTTACGAAATGGCCTAACTGGTGCTAAGGCCACTGGAGGGGTCAAACAACGAATCTTATCGTTTAAGTCCTTAAGATAACCGCTGATCCAGCGGGTAGCTTGTTGAGTGTGTGCGTGTTTTATTATAGCAAAGCCACATCGGACTATTTGCTGTTTCCACTGAGGGGAATCGAACCCTTGATCGTAAAATTGCAAATCCGAAGACTTACCGCTGTCCCATCAGCTGACAATGGTTTACTGACTGATGGTTGATGTTTTAGAGCAAACCGACATCGAGTTATCTACTGTGTCCACCACAGGAAACCTAACTCCTAATTTTAGCGTTGTAAGTCTATAAACTTAACGCCGTCCCACCGGGGGACCAACCGAAGGGCGTGGAAGAGAGCACTATTTTCTTAATAACAAAAGAAGTATTATATTTAGCATACTATTGAAAAATTTGCTTGAGCAATATAGTACTATAAAATAATTATTAGAAAAGGTACATAACATTACAAGTAAATACATACAAAAAGAACATGAAACTTGTTGTCAGAGCTTTAAATCTGTAACAATTCTTCCTAATTTGAGACTTAAAATACCCCTCGTATTTGCATATATATCGTGTAAACTTTGGTCTACTATGTCATTTAATTGTAAAGTATGATGATTTCTTTGTTTGTTTTGTCGTTACGCACAAAACTACACAATGAGCTATCTTGCTTCACTCACCGCGGGTATCGAAACCTGATTTTTAGCGTTATAAGCTCTTAGACTTACCGTTGAGCCATCGGAGAGCAAGCATGAAAAACAAGAAATTTTTCTATCCCAAAAAAGCTGTGAAAAATATTTTCTTGCCCAAACATCACATTAAACACAAATATAATATATTAATATAAATATTAAGTGTATCTTTATAAACAGAAAGTTATAAAATGACATTCGAAATATAGGTGTATCGTCTTCAGAAATAAACAAGAGGGAATCCTCAGTAGCTGCGGCACTTTTAGGCAGGATTAGTGTAAATTAATGTATGAGTCCTTTTTTATTTTTCCTTTTTATTATGTCCTCCAGTGGGACAGTGGCAAGTCTTCGGATTCATAACGCTAAAATCAGGGAGTCGATTCCCCTCGGGGGACACAGTAGATAGCTCGATGTGGCTTTGCTATAACAAAAAACACCATTTGTATTAGCTATATTTTCGTGTGCCAGCAATACCAAGCGTTGGGCTCGTATATACCAGATTCGATTTTATCACTCATCAGGATCTCTACAAGCCTACCCTCAAATTGAAATTCTTTTAGGCAGATTACAATAAATTAATCTATGAGACCTTGGACGTGGTCAAATACATCAAACTGAAACTTGATTCGTGGTGAACAGAATACTGGCTCATCTGTTATTGTACAAATTGGGGTGTTTCTAACACCGTTTTCTTCTCTATACACAATGAGGCTAGCTTAATGGAACGCAAACTATAGGTCATTAAGAATAGAACTCGATTCTTTGACGTCCACTCCTAACAATTTGAGTATATATTAGAACACCGGAAACCAAATACAGTTGTCTAGAAATAGCTGGTGATATTAGCATCTTGTCAATCCTGGCCAACAGGAAAATGTGGTTGTCCTTGGTCACTGTTTTGACTGAAAGTTGGCCTGTTTTAGGCCTCACAGAAACGCTTCCCGTATGTTTAAATCATCTTCACATCCAATTCACCACACCAAGAGACATTCTTAGCCAGGACACATCTTCTCCCTGACTCTGTCCTGCTTCGAGTCTTCTAAGTGCTCTCTACATTGAATTGTCTTCTTAATGTGATCTACTGTTTATTTTTATTGAGAAAACAATATTCAACCGGTTCATTTGCAGACAAATTTAACCAAGAACGTCAGAAGGTCCAAAAACACGAAATGGAGGTTTCCTACTTTTGACTTTGATAACTGCGCAATTCTTTCTCCAGATAATATGCAAATATAACTTTAAACATTGTTCAACTATAACCTCTCTTTTCCTCTTTCTTTTTGTTTTATTTGTTATAAAATTAGAGGTGTTTCTTAAATGTTTTTGATTGGGGTATAGTCATTAGTGTGTGAGTAGATACTGACTCAGTTATAACCTGAAGTTTAGACCTTTGGTAAAGCGAAAGCACCCATTTTAACCCATTTCAGGAACTCCTTGTCCTAATTTGTCCTAATAAGTATCAGTCAAAGTATTTCAATAAAATATTATTTATAGTGTTTGGATATCAAGCCTAAATTGGAGTTTGAAACTACATTTAGGAATTTAACCTCTGTTTATATTGAAAGCATTAATTTTACTTCAAATATGCGATATCGAGTAACAACAAACTATACACCTGGAAAAAAG